ATATGTCTATTCTTGTGCTGAAATTTCTAGTCAGATCAATTAGGAAGGAAAAGGTTAAAAAAATAAGTCACTGGGCTCAAGCGATGGCCTGGTGATTAAGAGCGTGCATTGTTCCTACAGGTGACCTGGCACCTACATCGGGCAGTTTACCAACACACTGTAACTCTAGCTCTGGGGAATCTGATGCCTCTGGCTTATAGAGACACCTGCATTCAACATCCCCCCCACAATACTAAAATTAAGATTTAATTTGAAAATACTAGTTAAATTTGAAAAGAAAACCTCAAAAAACGTCTACAAGAATAGGACACATAACATATAGAAAATCCAGCAACAACCCTTTAGAAGTAGTAAAGAAATTCAGAAAATGGACAAAATTTTGCTGCCTTTGTATTGTCGTGACAGAACAACATAAAAGGAGGAAAAGATTATGCTGGGTTGGGGTTTCAGACCGTAGTGTCAAGAAGAGCCTGGTGGGACTGGGCTGGTCGGTTCATTGCAGAACATGTGGCAGGGGCTCTGTGGGTCACAGCAGACTGGGAAGCAGACAGAGCACCAGAACAAAGGGCCAGGCACAACCTTCGAAAATCAACCTAGGTGACCTGTACCCTAATTCCATCAGCTAAGTCTGACCCTCCAAAGGTTCTCAGCCTCCTACATAACACCACCAACTGGGGAGCAATCAGTCAAAGCAGGAACCTATGGGGGACATTACGGATTCAAAATAGATTTTGCCCTTGCCTCCAAAGCTCATGGTCATCTCGTCATATAAGCTGTATTTAATCCAGGTTAGAGAGTCTCTGAAGATTTAACAGTCTCAACTCTGTAAGTGTGAAGTTCAAGGTCTCTTCTGAGGCACAAAGCAAACTACTAATTGTGAGGTTCTGGAATACCAGAAAGTCCTGGTCATCAGATATATAGTGGTCGAGCAGAGGCATGCCCATTCCAGAATGGACAGATGGAATATAGTGGGGAAGGAGGGGCTGAAGGAAGGCTGAAATCCATCATGGAAAGCAGAAACTAGGTAGTTCTGTGCCAAATCCCTGGTGCCCAGGTATCTGGACTCCACCAGTCCTGGGCATGGCTGCAGTTATAGTCTGACACTTGTGGGTTTTTTTTTTTCGGACATCTCCATTGGCACCTGCCTCTTTCCTTAGCGCGTATCCCATGTTCTTGGCAGTTCCAAAATCCCAGAAACCCACTCACGACTCGAGCTTTGTGTCTCACTTGCTAAGGTCCTTGCAGAATAACCAACCTGTCTACACATTGCCTGACCTCCTAGGCTTTTCTCAAAAACTGTGGTAGATGCCTCCGTGGCCCCGTGAGTCTCACATTTTGTGTGTCTATAAAATGAGGAACACCCAGACAATGAACGTTAAAATGCCTAACTCCTGGGCCAGCTCAAGCCGCAGCCAGGACCTCTTGGACCACGGCTCCCGTGACTTCGGAATGCCTGGGTGCCCGGGGCCCATGAAAACACTGGCAGCCCTCCCTGCAATGCTCACTTCTTTAACAATTACTGTTTCTTTGTTTGTAACTTTAAAGGAACTATCTTTTTGGCCCCCAAACACCATGTTTTCTACTTTTCCTCTCCTGAGCTGAACTA